TTWWTCACTTCTCATATTATCATTGTAAAAGAGGCTGTAATATTTTGATTACGGACCAGTTGAGTGATGGGTAAATATCCATTAGGTAAAACTTAGAGTCGATTAGAGGGGATACCTTTTTTCAAGAGAATAAGTTGATGCACAGTTCATACAACATAAGTTATTTTTTCCGTTGTTCATTCTTTGATAACAAGGATTCAGCAGTTGTATCTAGTTGTCACAGTTTGTTAATTAAATAACCAACACCTGTTTTCTTTACAGACTCAAAGCAGACATTGACAGACTAAAGTTAGAGAATGAAGAAGCTGCACAGCAAACTAATTTCAAACATACAAACGAAGTCAAGGTAACCAAAATAACAACATTAAATGTGAATATTGATAATATGTATGTAGAAATACTTTGCTGTTGGCTAAAAACTTGTATTATAATTATTTATTCCAGGAACTGAAAGAAAAAATAAGTGACTTAGAGACAAATAGGCAGACATTGCAAAACGAGGTATGTTTGCTGGATATCATTATTGGTTAAACGTAACTATTTAACTTATTGTGCTTATTGTTGTTTCATCATCATCTTTTATACTTTTTATTTAGGTCACTTCACTAAGTGCCAAGATTAATGAAGCTAGACTGGATAAGTAAGTCTATAAAGTCTGTAGTTGTTTCTTCAGAAAATGTCAAAAATGTATATCTAAAGAAAATCGCTTGTTATGTAGTAAAAAATATTTAGAGAAAAGGAAACTTTGAGACCCCTCTTGTCATTGTGTGCTTACAAAAATTATCAGGCTGTTGTGTACAAGATGGAGTGCAATGTACTTTTAAAAATGATATGTTCACTTCAATTTCTCAATATATTATGTTTAATTGATATTTTGTATTTACAATTTTGTATTTTTTTCATTTTCAGTCAACGAGAACAACATGAAATGACWTTAGAAATGAACAGAAAGAACGAAAGAGAAAGAAAACTACTGAAAGAAGAAAACAAAAAACTACAGGCCGAAGTTGACAAGGTAATAATTATTATCATAAATCCTACTCATATAGAACCAGCCTTGTGGACTTTCTGACTAAAGAAGATTAGCTTATGATGTGGTGTTATAATGTGATTTCTGCCTTTCAGCTTTCAGAGGCCTTAGAGAAGGGTTCTGCTTCTCAGCGTCGACTGGAGGAAGAACTACGAGAGAGCAGTGAAAAGAAAGATGCTGTWGCCCATTGGGAGGCACAGATTGCTGAGATCATTCAATGGTTAGATTTATACATGTTTCAGTAGTCATTATTTTATATTATGGAATGCTTTTTTGAATTGTTTTTGTGCATATAAATTAAAACCAATTACACACGTTCTCAAGTGTTTCATAAGCCATGGGCCACTCATGGCTCTTTTCTGACGTATTCCTTTATTTGGAATTTGTAAATCGTGAAGGATGCACTTCTTATGTTGAGTATTTGTAACTAGGGTGAGCGATGAAAAGGAAGCCAGGGGATACCTACAAGCACTGGCTAGTAAGATGACTGAAGAACTAGAAGGCCTTAAAGCATCAGGGTATTCCAGCTTACCAAGGGTATGTATTGGAACCTGTTTCATCTTACCTCACTTCCCAAACTAATGAATGGTATTCTGCATGATTTAGGGCGAGAAGAATCAGTGGCAAGTAAGAAGATCCCAAAAGGTTGACAAGCAAGAAATCTTGACTTTACAGTCTAATCTTCAAGCTGAAATCCAGGTAAGTTTGGCTAGGATTATTTCCAGTCAGTGTGYAACTTGCTAAYCACTGCTATTGTGGTTGAAGCAATGGTATGATAAGATRGTGAGGGTACGCTATGGTACAAGTTTATTCAWCTATTTYCATTTTGGTTTTGTGTATGTACAGGCTAAACAGCAGCTTTCAGAGGAATTGAATAAAAGTAAAGCTGTGCTTATTACCACTGAAAAGTATGTATACAGTATTATCATTTGTTATTAAGAAAGACATTGAATTTTACAGGGTTTAGTCTTTTTTTGCCTAGTTTTTCTTACACTTCTACTTTTTTTATAGGAAACTAGCTGAGTCTGAAGCGCAGTCAAAGAATCTCAAAGAGGAGGTTGAAATGCTGAAAAAAGAGATGGAACAATTAAAACAAAGTGGGGCTCAAAGAGGAGGTAATGGAATTGTTATGATGATGATGATGATGATGATGATGATGATGATGATGATGATGATGATGATGATGATGATTTATCGCTAATAGATTTTCACAAAGTTATGTTTTCAATTTTGTTTTCTCGATTCTCGAAATTCATTTTTTGTGAGTGCAAAGACAGTCTATATCATTAACAAAAGATCATTTTCAAATAAAGAAATAATGAACACCATTATGATGTTCATTGTGATCTGTTTTGTATTTCAGATCTTCCTTTCTTATCCTACCTCAAAGAAGAGACCACAAGCAGACATGACGAGGTTACAATGACTTCCAAATACATTAACAAATTATTTCATAGTGTTAATATGAAAAGCAGCTGTTAACACATTTGATTTGCTGTACTGCTTGTGTTTATTTTTGCTTGCTAGTGTAACGTTAAACTAACTTTTGCAGGAGGGTGATATTGACACATTCAGCGCCCATCAAAGAACCAATTCTCAAAGATCAGTTTCTAGTTATTCAGATGTTAGTACACATTGGTCATGCTTTAATTTCTTTTATTATTTTATTATTATTTTTGAATATGGCTTCCGATTGTTCACGTGACATATTTTTCAAATATGGTGGCTTCTGTTATGCAAGGAACCTACGTCTGAACTTGTCACAGTATATTTTAGTTTACAAAGTGACATCAACTTTAAGCAACTTTAATAACTCATTGTAAATAAGCAATAAATTTTAATTAACATTGCAGCATGTATTATGTGCAGTATCTATATCTTCTACAGCGTGTGCATAACTATGTATTCTAACCATTTCAAATTTCCAGACATTTTCAACAAGAACAACATCAGTATCCTCAATGGCGTCCTCCTTTGCAGTGAGTGCCATCAATACGTGATTTTAACGACTCTAATTCTAATGTACTGATCTGTAACATCTCTTCAATCTTTGTTTACAGCCTCGTAATCATAAGTTTTCTGTGCGCACGTTTACAACACCAACTAAGTGCAACCAGTGTACATCGTTAATGATAGGTTTGGTGAGACAAGGCTCAATATGTGAAGGTAACAAGGATTGTATTAAGAATTTTASAAATAACATGAGCTGGCTAACTGTTCTTTGTTTTTGTGCTCTTAGTCTGTGGGTTTTCGTGTCATTTGATGTGTACAGAACAAGCACCAGCTGTATGTCCCATTCCGCAGAGCCAAGGTTTGTCACACTTAATAATAATAATGATATAATGTAGTCTCCTTCTCAGCCTCTCCTTTTGGGAGGGACAGGAAGCCCAACAAAAGTGGAGGCTTGCAAAGGAGACTAAATATAATRATGATATTGATAGTAAGTTGGTCAGAGTGTTAATAAGTACGTAGTCTGCGTTAGCGGCCCTATTATAGATTAGGAATTGGGAAGGGCCTCTAATGCAGGATATTAAGTATTTTATAATTCTGCCCTTGTAGCCAATCGAAGACCACTTGGCATTGACCCTGAGAAAGGCGTTGGTACAGCTTATGAGGGATTTGTACGGGTAAGAACAACTCAACCTTGTCGACATGACTTCTCACATCGAATTTAAAGAAAAAATGACTTCAATATTCAACATTTAYGACGAATACAATGTAAAAGGTTCTTCCTCAAAGAATTCTTGAGTAAAGGTTTGGAAGAGTTTGTCATGAATGATATGTTATAATAGTAGTATAATATATGTTACTTTATCTCTGTTAACATGACTCCATATTATCCGTACATTAATACTGTATTTGGTATGTAAAGACCATGAATATGCATTACATCCTWGTGAATGCTGACCTTGATGTCTTATCTATTGTAGATCCCTAAGCCTGGTGGCATTAAGAAAGGCTGGATGCGTCAGTGGGCAGTCGTGTGCGATTTCAAGGTGTTTTTATTTGACGTAACGGGAGATAAACCACCCCAAGTTTCCCAGTCTGCCACACAGGTCATTGACATGAGGTAAGCATATCGTTATTTTAAGAGAATATATTAAAAAAATGCAGAATATTACAGAATGAAAGATGAGAAATGTTTAATTTTGTTGAAATAGTTTTGCTTAACATGATTGTCTTTTTCCAGAGACGACGAGTTCTCCGTGAGTGGTGTCTTGGCATCTGATGTCATCCATGCCAGCAAAAGAGAGATACCCTGTATATTTAGGGTAAATATTGTTTTCGTTGTTGATTTTGTTGTCATCGTCGTTGTTATTGTCGTTGTTGTTGTTGTCGTCGTTGTTATTGTTGTCGTCGTTGTTGTTGTCGTCGTTGTTGTCATCGTCGTTGTCATCGTCGTCGTCGTCGTTGTTGTTGTTGTCGTTGTCGTTGTTGTTGTTGTCATCGTCGTTGTTATTGTTGTCGTCGTCGTTGTTGTTGTCGTCGTTGTTGTCGTTGTTGTCGTTGTTGTCATCGTCGTTGTTATTGTCGTCGTCGTCGTTGTTGTTGTTGTCGTTGTCGTTGTTGTCGCTATTGTCGTTGTCGTTGCTGACTGCCACCTCTTCTTCTTACAGCTAACTGCATCTCAGATGACGCCTCCTGGGGAACCATTGACACAGCTTTTCCTTACTGAAAAGGAAAGAGATCGTGTTAACTGGGTGTCGGCTCTTCAAGAACTGCATAAAATCTTAAAAAAGAACTTCCTATCGTCAGAAATGGTAAG